CACATAATTTTCTTTTTAAAAATCTTTTCTCATATTATCTCAGCAAGTCTTTTCTTATCTTGTTAATCTTTTATCATCTTCACTTGTCTCCTCTTTTTTCCCAAGCTTGTTTATGTTCACACTTCTTGTTCTTTTCTATTATCATTTCTAATCTGTTTATCTCACCTTTCCTTGAGTTTGCTTGTTGCACCTCATCTTATCCTATCTTATCTTCTCTTTTCTCATACAGTGCCTTACCCTGTACTGTTGTCATAAGTAACAAGATTTTATTTTTTCTTATCATATTGTATTTTAAAATTTATTTAGTAAAAATTTCCTATGACTTCTATAACTTTATCAAATCTTATTATAATGGAGCTAAACCCGTTTGTGGGGTCAATAAAAACTTTTTACACAGGTGCCCATGAATTCTACAAAAATATAATTTCGACAAGAATTGTCCCAAAGGGTTATGTGGGCATATTTTCAAAGTTCGGAAACTACTTTTTGATTTTTCAGGTTTGATGGTTTTTCCTGTAAATCGAAGCTCTCAGATGTTTTCACTCTGCCATTAGCCATTTCATATTTTATTGGGGACTACTTCCGTTTAATATTGTGCTTCTTCGTGCGTGTGAGACAGCTGCTTCTTCCACTTCCAGAACTAGAATGATCTCGATATCCAACTCTGTTAGGATGTGTGCTTGACAGTGTCGATGGATACTTCAGGCGAAACTTTATTTTATTGACTTTTTCTAGATGCATTTGGTGTAGTCATGTACCAAAGATAGTGAATAACTATGTACAATCATTGTCATGTACCCAACACGTCGTGTTCGTGTAGGCCCGCAAAATTTTACTTCGTTGTATTGACGTTTTCAAAATTTTGGCGCGTATTTGGTGCGTAGTTTTTTTAAAGAGCAAGACGAGATCTAGACCTCTATATCCTAGATGTATTATTTGGAGTACAGAATTCAAGACTGATGGGAGTAGTTAGCAAGAACAGAAGTGCCGTTTGTTCTTTGTGACTGAAGGGTCATGGGTTTGAACCCTGCCATGGCGCCGAAATTGTGTCCTTGGTAGAGGTATGTTGTATGAATTTTCCTCACTACATCAAAGTGGGTATGGGTATGCGGCGGTAGGCGGGAAAGATGTCTTGTAAAGTTAATGCGATGTTTTAAAGCAGGCCTGGCTGAATAAAAACCATAATAATTGTCAATTTCGTTTTTTGGTAGAACATAATTAATTATTATCAGGCATGTTGTAATCTCTTTTCCTAGTACTGGAGTACTGGACCAAAAGTGCCATGTTGACAGTTTAAAAAAATATTTTCAATGGAACATTTCTGATTTGTCTTAATTCTATTTCAGTGTTGGAGAAAAAGCTGGGTGCTAAGGAGGAACAAATCTACGATGAGCCTGAGCACAGAGTGTACCAGGGAGACTACCTACACACACACGGTCTCACTTTCGCCAACCTGCAGATGGACCCGTACAGACTGGACAATGAAAACAACAAGAACAACAACAATAACAGCAACATCAACAACAACAGCAGCAGCAGTGAAAACAGCAGGAGGGGCGACGACAACACCGGCCTCCCTCCCGTCCCTTCGTTCAACCGTGGTGTGAGCAACCCCTCGTTCCTCCATGACCACATCGACTCTGTCTCCCAGATTGGGCAGGCGGACGAGATCTCTGTGCGCTCTCAGCCCGAGGGGAGAAACGCTCACAGCAGTCGGCCCTTCTCTACCATGAGGTGAGATAAAGAAATAAATATACAGATTGAGAGAGAGAGAGAGAGAGAGAGAGAGAGAGAGAGAGAGAGAGAGAGAGAGAGAGGGAGGGAGAGAAAAGTATTAGTTTGTGTGAATGAGTATTTTTGTGTATAAACAGGGACATGAATCCATGCATACATTTGAAAACACTTGAATTTGATAAATGAATAAATGTTAGAGAAATGAATAGATATTTAGCGTGAATTAAGCAAACACTGAGTGAATAAAGGTATGTGCAAAGAAATTCATATAGATAGAATAAAACTATTTACTGATCGTAGGTCTTGTAAAAACTATGATGAAAGGCTCAGTTGAAAACATACAATTACAAAAGTAGTAAGCCCATAACTTACATTACGACGCCCTCTTATCACCCTATAGATTGATAAAAGAGAAAAATGAGTTACTTAAGTAATACACTTTGGGGGGTAGTTGTTAAACGGCATATTGATAAAACAAGGTAGGCAGGTGCTATAATATCACCACAAAATCAAGAGAAGGTGCATTATAGTTTGGTAGGTTGGATGAAAGGATCACCCAAAGGGTGATTTGAGTTAGTAAAATCTTTTCAGTTAATAAAATCTTTTCCTGTAGCCTACATGTAATACTACTCGACATCTCCAATTTTTAAATTTGCTTCATCAATTTTTGATTTTTCATTGAACTGCTTCCCTTTTCCTATTTCTGATGAGATTTCAATGAAAATTCTGTTACTCTTATTAGTAAAGATTGGTAGCGTTTACATACTATGTTATATAATAACTATTTGAACAAGTGCTTTTTAAGTTTAACGATGGCAGTCGTGTCTGAACAAATGTTTGCTCCATCTTACTCTAGTGTTGATTGTGTTTGAAAGACAGTGAAGACCGCAACTTTCATAAATACTTCTGATTTCTCGAAAAATGCAAACTTGCCATAAACAGGGTCAAGAAATAGTTCGAAGTCTAGCTTAACGCTTTTTTCATGAAATAAAGTTCTTTCGGACAATACCTTCTAGCGAACTGCAGCTGGCTAACTTTGGTTATCGTTAATTAATTATCGTATCTGGTTCTTTTGTCCCTCCACCTCCCCTCCTCTTCCCAGCGCCCCTCCCATACACTACACAGGCAGAACTCTACCACTGAGCGTCATCAGCGGGCGGACCCCCATGGACTTCACCCGCGAGAACCCCGCGTATGTGGGGAGTTCCTCTGAGCACACAGAGGGGCCCAGTAGTCGAGCCATCAGCTCTCACATGTCTAGCCTCAACAACCCGGGGCTAGTCAGCGGCGCGTCCAGTATACAGAAACGACCTCCATCCAGCATGGCCTTGACTTCTATGGCAGGAAGTGGCCCCTCCCAGCCATACGGTGGACCAAACATGCGCGTGATCCTCCCCTCCTCCTCCATCTCCTCCGGGGTTCAGCCCGGGATGCAGGGACTGGAGGGTCTAGTTTACTACACAGCAGGACCTGACGGACAGCTCGTGGCTCAGATACCCTCCCCCAACACACCAATCGTCATGTCACCGCACATGTATCCCGTGTCTGACTCCAACCCCCCTCAACAACACAACATCAGCCCCCAGGGGGAGCCACTGTACACTCACCAGGGGTCAATAAGTGGCGCTGACCCTAATTCCCCACCCATTAACCCGAATTTCGGACCATACAGCTTCGCCCTCGCCCAACAAAGACAAGCCTCAAGAGCCCCTCAAGCGGTCATGGTGTCACCGCCCATCATAGAGGAAGGGCACGCTGCAGGGGGAGAAGATCTTGGCCGCTGCGTCCAGCCTGGGGATATAGAACTGAAGGATATGGGCGTGGCCTGGGCTAGGGGAGAGGTCAATCCAGCGCACGTGGCAGGTCAACACCCGCTACAGGTGTCTGCTATACCGGCCAACGTGTCCGAGTCAGCTGTAGACTACTCACCCATTCACTACGCCAGCCCCTCACGCCCTACTCCTCATCAGCAGCCGCAGAAGCAACAACAGCAACAGCAACAGCAACAACAACAGCTTAACCCTCTACAGAAACACCACCTGCAGCAGTATCTCATTCAACAGGATCAGCTACAGCAAGCACAGGTGCACCAACAGCAGCAACAGCAACAGCAACAACAACAGCAACAACAACAGCAACAACAGCAACAACAGCAACAACCACAAGCCAACAGCCAACCACCCTCAGGCACAGACCAACCCATGGAGGTCCGACGTCGGGGGTCCTGTGACGTCACTAACACGACCTCCAGCCCACCCCGAGACGACCGGCCTGGGCTGAGAGACAGCAAGAGTAGCCTCTCGTCCTCCATGCCAGACATTGTGGGAGAGCTGACCTCTCACCACAACCTAGACGACCTGCCCTTGGACTCCATAGACCTTTCCTCTAGCAGGGAATCGCTGGACGGACCTGAAGGGCACACGCGACTTCCCAATGGTGACAGGGTGAGACTGAGCAATCTGGCAGCGTTGGGAAGCAACATTACAAAAGTGTAAAGAGCGTACGATCAAAGCTTACAGAGAAAGGATTAAGTTAAAGTTTTAGTTTGGTAAGAGTCTAGCTTAGCTCTAGCTCAAGTTACCGAAGAGACTGTGTACAAAAATGTGTATAAAAGATACGGCGTTTGTGTACAAAGATACGGTGCGTGTGTAAAGAGACATGATGTGTAGACGTACACATGTGTACCGTATGTCTTTTCTTGTTAATTATAACGTGGTATTTTTACTGAGCAAGCTACAATTACATTAAACAAAACGTGAATTTCCAAAACACTTTTCTTTACTCCTAAGGAATTTTACGAAAAGGGTAAGTTAAGTTTGCTTATTATCAATATTATGGTCACCAAATTCTGCATTACATTTTAGGTGTGGCTACCGTTATCATCACAAAAGTAATACTATCATCATAACTATGTCATAGCATAAGTAATAATAAAGTGAAGACTTACAAACATTTGTACAACAAAGTGTGAAATCCGAATGGAAAGTTATATTTGGAATATGCTGCCACTGGAGATGAACCGTTTGACCTTTTGTTGTAATGGTACGCACTGCATCAACAATTTAGTTTAGATCGTTCCAGAAAGAGGGGTGGGGTAATTCGACAGTGCCTCGGGGGTGACACCTAGCAGAAAGACAGAGATATTTATTTGAGAAAATACTATGTTGTCTCCATATGGGAATCGAACTTCCATCCTCGGCTAGCTGGGCCGAAAGTTTAAACCCTTACACCACAGACATGGACTTTTTATGGTCACAGCCTACCTT